TTTTGTCTCATGAGGTTTTGCGATAAGCAAGGTATATTGGCTTTGGTGCTGAAAATTTAGATTACAGTATACAAAAATTTAAATGAAAAAAGTACAGCTATTTACACTACATTAACAAAATGGAGTCACTAAGTAACCTATTAAGTGAACTTGTATTAAGTTATCAGATAGAAACAACTGTACAGTACTGTATAATCTAAAGCAATTCTACAAGGAAACCTTAAACTTAAGAATATGTTGAAATTTAGAAGCATTAACAAATAAAGTACAATTTATAAGTTATAGGAAACTTCAATCTTTTATTAATCCACTATTTCCTGCAAATCACCAAAAAGTCGGCAATGGTAGAATGCTTACTCTATATGGCTTTCATATGAAAAAGGATTTAGCATGCGGTTCCCAGCCTTGACAAATTTAGAGATGGACGTGAAATTTGTTTTAAGGAAAGCTTCACATTATTATTTGTATGGTGAAAATTAAAACTAATAAACAAGGCATAGACCATATACAATGCTAAGGCTTTACTTGCTTGAAGCTCCTGAGATCTTTTCTTTTACACACTTCTATCTATTTTCTGACAAACTTATGGCTTTGTCTTATTTTTCCACCTGACTCGGCATGAAGATACAGCACAAACTACCAGTTGATAAGAGGAACAAAGGGGTGGTGCCAAGTGACGTACCCATAGCTGGCCAATCAGCACGCTGAACGAGTCGCTGATGAGTGATTAATTTTCCTTTTTTATTTGGTATCCAATCCCAATGGAACACAAAATCTACATTCTTTTTTAGGCCAATGCAATGTTTTAACAAAAGCTCAGATTTTTTTTCATGGTTACTACAGAGCTCTATTGAAGTGGTGCTACCTCTCCTTCTATGTACCTTGGCCACAGGGCCCCTCCATTCACCCTCAGTTGGGTTGAGAGACCGGCAGTGGTATGAAGGTGCATGTTCTGCTACAAGTATGATACATTTCATAATCCTTTTACAGTGTACAGCTATAGTGCTCAGTGCAGCATTGGTGTAAAATTTACACCAATGCTTTTTGATCATTATAGCTGTACAGGATGCTTTATATAAATATGTAGCTGTCATGTTTGTTTAGTACAGAAATATAATTATTTACAGTATAATTATGTAAGTACACAGCAGATTTTAGGCAATGACAAACACAATAAATATTTTCTATTAATATGTAAAAGTACAGTACAGCATAATATTTGTATATAAAATATTTACTTCATAATTACTGTAGGTCTGTATGTATATACAGTATCTGTGTAGCTAAACAAGTCTGAGTCCAATAGGTACAGATCTTTGGCAATGATGCTTACAGTGTAGTACTACCCTATTCAGTTGAAAATCTGCACAATTGTGAAACATTACAATACTGTAATTGGGTCAAACTTTTCTGAACTTGTAAGCTTTATAAATGATACAAAGGATGATACAATAATGTGAGAGTGAGTCTACTGTATCTAAAAAAAGTGAGTCTACTGTATCTAAAAAAAGACACTTTCTATCACTTGTAAGTTACATGTTTTTTCTTGTCATCACTTTTTATGGAAACACAGAGGAAGAAAAATCATGCTGTGTCTACACTTGAGTGCTCACATTTCTTGTAGAAGTTAGATGACAACTGCAGGATCTTCAAGTTCAATCCAGTGAGTCATTAAGCAATCAAGTTGCTTGACTAATACACTAACATGCTATATCCAATAAGATTCAACTTGCTGCAATATTTGTGATGAACTCACAATGAATCTGATATTTCTGCCTTCAAATACATTTACTTTATTAGTAGAAGCTTATTTGTGAATGCACTGTCCTGTTACTAAATCATTTGTCAGTTCAAAGAGCATAATTGATTCTGCACAGATTAAGCGGTTTCAATTCATATAGCTTTTGGAGTAAGAGAACAATCTTTGAGTGGGCAGATCAAAGGGATCTCTCTATTATTTATCTGATCTTGTCATGTCAGTACCTCAGATAATTTAAGATCTTCCCACTAAGGAAGTCATTTAACTATTTAGGACAGTAACACTCTTGGGTCTAGGGAGGTGCTCTCCGACGAGACACTCAGGGTCATGCCTGTTACCTACCTCAACGCACTTGACTGCACCACACGAGAGATAATTGTATGTAATGAGTCATAGCAAGCTTGATATTTTAGATAAAAAGGTCGGGTTTGTTGCATCAGCATTGTAAATAAATTATCTACAAAAACTTTTATACGAGTAATCACAATAAAATAATTACAGTGATATCTCTGTTGGCCCGAACAATTGGTGCAGAGCACTTCCGGAAAAGAGATATTTCCGGGTAACGAGATGACTCTCTTAAAGCGAAAAAATATCCCTCATCCCCGGAATTTTCTGGGTAACGGGAAAATTTTCTTCGAAGCTCCAGAAATTGCACATTACATCATCTCTTAATCCTGGAAAGAAATCCCCCATCCCTGGAATTTTCTCGGAATCTTCCAGAATGATACATTATTTCAACTCTCGAAGCCAGAAAATATCCCCCATTCCCGGAATCTTCCCGGTACAAGAAAATTTTTCTAGGAATTTCCAGAAAATGCCTCTGATTTTCATCTCTCAAACCCGGAATAAAAATCCCCCATCCCCAGAATTTTCAGGAATTTTCTGGGTACTAGGAAGTTTTCTCTGAATTTTCTGGAAAATGTGTCCCTTGGAAAATCGTCCCCAAAGCCGGAATTTTCAGGAAAATTAGGGCCTTGGGAACGATTTTCCGAGAAAATTTCAATTCTGGCTAATGGAAATATTACCATATTTATAAAACATAAGCACGAGTAGAACACAATTTTTTTTACGCTTAATTAAAATGTTTATACATCACTATATACCTTCGTTATTTCATGTGATTGCAATATGAACCTTATTCCATTATAAAGCGTACATATTTAGCCTAAAATAGTTATAAAAGAAAAGTTGTGAAAAAATTAATATTTTGCTGGGTAATAGTGATGTAAATTGTGCGTTCTGATGATCACACCCAGGCCGAGGACAGATTATTCATGTTTTCCCTTTGAGCACAAAAGATAATTGTACATATGGAGTCATAGCAAGCTTACTAATGGAGATAAAGAGGTTGGATTTGTTGCATTAGCATTGTCTACAAATAGTTTTATATAGGTAAACACAATAAAATGATTAATCTATATGTAAGCATGAGTATAACACAAATTGTAGTGCATGACTGCCACTCAAGCTCCCAAATGCGAATATTCCTCGCTCAGATTTTCTATATTTTTTACATAAATGTGTTTATAAATGCTAATAATTTTCTAAATTCACATGAAATAATAATTGTATATTATTGGTTAAATGCAAAGCATAAAAATATTACAAATTTTTTATGAAAATAAATGAATTTCTGTACTTACATGTTGTTAGATGTTCCTCCCCCCTCCCGCCCTTTGCCCTCCTTCTATGTGCCCCAGTGTCGTACTTAGCCTGAACAAGGCGACTAAATCTTGTGAGGGAGATGAGCAGTCATGAGGTGAGGTAAGCCATGCTGTGATGGCACATGAGCAACACTATTTTATTTTGCTTTTAGCCACAACAAGCCAGGCAGTTTCTTTCACACTAAAATTGCTTGTTGAAGGGCTAGACAAACTATCACATGCACTAAAAGGGCCAGGGAGACTGGGAGAGGCCTCAGGAACCACCACCATATGGTGCAATCTCCTGTACTCTTTACAATTTCCCACACCTCCACTTTTGCCAGCAACATGAGGCATAGTTCAAAACTATCACAATACTGTTATCAATAAATGAAATCAATGTGATAAACGAGAAATCAGCACAAGCCGCGAGAAAATGGTGGGAAATGTAGGTCAAGGTTACATCCTGTGCCAGGTCATTCACATAACCTTGGAGGCAGTCTACATGGGTGCCAGATCACACCGACATTGCTAAATGTGCGTCTTGCGTATCTAGTGTTTATACACAAACAAAATTTTTTTTATTGTAATTTTTGAGTTCATACGCAAATTTGTGTATAAAAACCCTAAAATCTGTTTTTTCTCAGCTGAGAAAAGATGCCCCGCCCCATTCTCAAGAATTTCAGCTGATTGGCGGTCTCAAACCTGTCCAATTTCGTTCTAAAGTAATGATGTACAGTACTATATTTCTAAATGAGTTTATTCATAAGCGTTGGGATGACCGTTTCTGACGAGAAAGATATTTAGCTAAATTATGTAAAGATACATACATTCATTATTTCAAACATAAGTACATAGGAGGTTTATCAAAAGTATTTTACATGAATTAACTGTTAAACTCTGGGAGCAAATTCACACTTTCGGAGGATGCATTTAATATACTGTATACAGTACATATTTTTACCAACAATAAAGCATACTAAGACAAATTACATATCAGTAATACTACATTATGCAAAAACTAACATTTTAAAAGATTAGAATCACATTGAAATATTTACATAGCCGTCAGCAGAGGTACTTATGTTTGAAATAATGAATGTATGTATCTTTACATAATTTAGCTAAATATCTTTCTCATCAGAAACGGTCATTCCAACGATTATGAATAAACTCATTTAGAAATACATCATTACTTTAGGACGAAATTGGACAGGTTTGAAACCGCCAATCTGCTGCAGTTCTTGAGAAGGGGCATCTTTTCTCAGCTGAGAAAAAATGCACTATAGTGATAATTTAGATCATAAGCAAATTTGCACATGAAAACCCCAAGAGTGTTAAGCAAATACTTGTCAGTTCAGATGAACATGGTGAATATTTGCAGTACTGAGAATTAAGGAACATATATAGGACAGCTATTTTTTAAATATGTAATATTATTATCATTATATATAGCACAGTTACATTCAGTGAATATTTTTCAGCACTAAATACTTATTGCAGTTTGATATGACTTCATCCACATACAAACATTACAAATGCAAAATGGAGCAACCACTCACTTTATTAACTCAACTTCTCTTAATAATACACACCATAAGGAGGAAGCATGGAGACTTGTGACTTCATTAGAAAACCCATTCAGTCAGTCAGCATCTGAGGATTCCTTTTAAATATGTTAGAAAAGTTGCCGTATCTCAATGGCAGCAGAATCATCAGTGTTTCAAAAGAAACCTTTAATGACAAAAAAATTGACAAGCAGTTCAGCAGCTGAGAGAAAAATTACTCTAAATAATTAAAACAACAATTGTGATTTTGAATCACAAATAAAAAATTATATTAATGCCTAAAGTACACTGAGGAACAATATCAAGATTATATATATATATATATATATATATATATATATATATATATATATATATATAGTATATATATATATATATATATATATATATATATATATATATATATATATATATATATATATATATATATATATATATATATATATATAGTATACATATATATATATATATATATATATATATATATATATATATATATATATATATATATATATATATATATATATATTATATATATATATATATATATATATATATAAAAGATCTGCAGAAGAAGGAATGATTATGTATGAACTTATTATTTAATAAATCATTTTCCTAAATACAGTATCTCTATCCTGCCTCCAAACTATGTAACTACTGTGTACACAAATGAACCTGCTCACAATCATTCTATTTTAAATCAAAGAAGAAATATTGAAGATGATCCTATGCATAGCTGTCATGCTCATACATATTTAACAATGTACAGTCAGCTACAGGAATAAATATACACACTGTAGCTGTAAGGTCCAAAAATGATCTGGTAACGTTGAAACTGCGCACCCAGACGCATGATGAAACTCAGCTTCCCCCCCCCCTTCCTGTTATCTGTATTTTCTGTTTCCCCTTCTTTATTCTTCTATTTCCTCCTCTTCCTTCCTTTATTAATCCAACATCAGTAAAAAAAAGTAGGGTAAGAGAAAAAGTGGGGGAGGAGGAGGGAGCTGTATGATAACTGCAATCCCATTCGGCAACAAGTTTACTACCATTGGATACAATATATTACAGTGCTTGTAATATAAACACAAGACACTAGTAAAACATTCACAACAAATGTATTTATAACATATATGTAGGAATAAAACATTTTGTAATTTTGTTTGTTCTGTTCAGGACAGTGTTACCAGATATTTTGTCTCAAACACGAACAGTAGGTGTATTGTATACTTATTCTTGTGGCCGACTGTACAGTACATGTACAATAAAGTGGAATTTATTCACAATTTAGATACCAAAACATCTTACACAGATATGATTACATGACTACGTATAATAATGAAAGTGGGACAGTGATAAGCATTCATCATCAAATACTGCAGTGCTGATAAACATTTTATCGTCAAACTTCTTTTAAAACCATGAATGGAGATCATGGTAAAACTCAAAATGACCTTCACATTATTTTTCCATATAGAATCAACTGTGAATAATACTTGAAAAATTACAAACATAAATAACAAAAATTGAACTAATCTATTTAAATAATACATTACAGTAGTAATATTACACATAAAGAATAAAAGTTAGATCATGTCTTAAAAAAATCATAAGTCATATCATGGATATACTCAGAAACCAAGATATTCTTACAAAGAACTTACTACCAAAGAGTTTAGACTGTGTTGCATGGCAATCATGCTATTTTAACTAATTTCATGCTTCTGTGATACAATAAGTAGGTTATTCCATGTCTTAAAAGTAAGCAGTAAGTACAATGCAAGTATTATTCCATGTGCATGTTTTTTGTGAACTTATGATTCAAGAAAAAATGAATAATGAGTATTGCAATAAATGATGGTTAACATAAGAATAGAAGGAAGGAAATGAGAACATATGTCTTCTACAGATCTGTGGTGACTTTAGAAGTAATGGCCTGTACTCTCCGGGCATTGCAACTCTTGCACAGTACATGTCCATCTAGAGGGTAGCATCCACGACCTTCAGCTTCTGAAGACAACACCAACCCACAGTCCTAGAAATAAACAAATTAGGGATATACTAATGTGCAACAAAGAACTATCATTAATTTCAAAGCATACATTTCAATAACTTATTAACATTTTCCAAAAATATCAGTAATAACAATGACCACTCTGAACAGAGCCTCTTTATGTGGAGGTGGCCTGAGTTTAGTTACAAGAGGTATTGCTTGTATATTTCTCATTACCTTTCACATTACCATTTTACAACCCAAGGCTATCAACTCAAATTTTATTTGGGTGTATTATTTCCTGGCATTCATACTATCCCAGTGACATGAAGGTCTGGGTTAGAATACTGGACTGTATGTAATATCAGGTTTGGTGTGGCTTCACACCTGTATACTAATGCCTTTTCCCTACATACACACATAGGTTCACCTGGCGCTGGTCCTCATGAACAGTCTACTCGCCCAAATATTGATCCCTTCTTATAACAAGGTGGACTTTAGAGAAATTTCACCAAATTCTGAAAGAAGGCAAATTCTGTACACATTTCATGGTCATCTTCACACATATTTTTCTTGATGACTGTACTCCTTTTCTTTATGCCATTTTCTCAAGTAAAGTCTTGAAGTACAGTACAGGTTGACAACCCTTTATCCGAAATTCCGAAAACCGAAAAGCTCTGAAAACCGAGTTTTTTTTTTTGTTGGGCAATAGATCACTGACTCACATCAGGGGCTGGGGAGCAAAAATGTAATACAGGTTGTACCTCTCTAGTCCGGCAACCTCGGGACCTGACCGGTGCCGGACCATGGAAATTTCCGGACCATGGAAATTCACCCTTTTCCTGGATAGATAGTGACTTGTGCTTACGCTTGGAAGCACTAGCACCACTTTCTCTGCTTCATGGTCTCTTTGAAGACACATTGAAGGGTTAAATGTCGCACAGTAGCTTCTCAAATTTCGTGAGTTTTTAATTCGACGTTTTCTATTTGAACACACACACACACACACACACAAAAAAAAAAACATTTAAAAATTTTGACGGCGGAAACTTGAATTTCGACGGGTTTGAACGGCCCACCAATGTTCAGACGACGTGCACAATCGTGTAAACAGCGTCATATCACTTATGTACAAAAGGTTCATTATTGTTTATTACTGAAAGTCTTTTTGATTGAATTAATGTTTGTGTGTGCAAAATAAGCAATACAATTCATTAATAATACGTAGAATATTAAAACACGAGGAAATGAGACAGCATTGTTTTTGTTGATTACAAAACCAGTGACTGACTGGTTCTACATATAAAACTGAAGAAAATAAGACCCTGGCTGTAGCTGTAGTAAAATTAATATGGTTGTTTTAAGTAATGTTATTTAATGTTAATAAATGGAACAATAGAAGTAGCTAACGATAATGGTAAAGAAAAAAAGAGAGATCGCGTATGTAAGTGCGCATGCGTGAAAACATATCGTCATTACTTTACATAAGAATATGAAAGCAACACTTATTTACTGTTCATATACAGTATATTTTAATTAATGTTTCTGAATTTGTTTTTATTGAATTAATGTTTGTGTGCAAAACTAACAATACAAATTTATTAATAATACGTGGAATATTAAAACATACGAGGAGACGAGACAGCTGCCGGCATTGTTTTTGTTAAAGCTTACAAAACCAGTGACTGATTGGTTCTACATATAAAACTGAAGAAAATAAGACCCTGATTGTAGCTGTAGTAAAATTAATGTAAAAAAATTAATATGGTTGTTTGAAGTACCTGTAATGTTATTTAATGTTAATAAATGGAACAACATAAGTAGCTAACCAATAATGGTAAAAAAAAAAGTGAGACTGCGCGTATGTAAGTGCGCACATGTGAAAACATATCGTCATTACTCTACACAAGAATATGAAAGCAACACTTATTTACTGCTCATATATATTGAAGGGTTAAATGTTGTACTCTGTATAGACAAGCAGAGAGAGAGAGAGAGAGAGAGCGCAGCCGAACTGCCGGATGTAAACAAACCTTAATTTCCCGCGGCTTTGCTGTTGTTTTTTTTTTTACGGGAATTAGCCGACCCGGGCATAGGTCACTGACCCACATTGGGGCCTGAGGGGCAAAAATTTAATACTCCTGTAATAATAATAATAATTCAGTAATAAACAATATTGAATCTTTTGTACATATTCTTAAGATAATGACTTTCCTTCAGTGTGCACTGTGCACGTATACATTGGCGTTCCACTATCAGTCTCAATTTTTCTTTAATATCATTGGTTACTTCAACTGTACATTAAACAACATTAATTAAAACATACATATTTTTTACATTAATTTTACTACAACAACAACCAGGGTCTTATTTTCTTCAGTTTCAGGTGGATAACTGGCATTATGGGTGTAAACAATGACAACAATGCTGTCTCTTATCCTCTTGTGTATTTTAATATCCTACGTATTATTAATGAATTGTATTGTTCATTTCGCATATATAAAGATTAATTCAATCAAATACATATTCAGTAATAAACAATAATGAATCTTTTGTACATATTACTAAAAAGATAAATTTCGTGGTATCCTTAAATGCGCACATATATGTTGGCGTTCCCAATCCATCTCTTTTTTCTTCTTTGCCATTAGTGGTTAGCTACTTCTATTGTTCCATTTATTAACATTAAATAACGTTACTTAAAACATATACCTGTACAGTATATTAATTTTACAACAGCTACAACCAGGGTCATATTTTCTTCATTTTCTTGTGTATAACTATCGTCCCGGACTCCCGGCTGTAAACAGAAACGAAAACAATGGCGTCCCATCACCTCTTGTGTGACCATATTATTATTCATTTATACTGTCACATTTATATTGTCAAAGGTGCATTCAGAAACATTATTTAAAGAATATAGTTTGCAATTTTTATTAATTGTATTGTTTTGGGGGAAAAGAGGGTAAAAGGCCACACAAAAGATATGAAAAGGTCACACTTAGGAACGCATCTCATTATTATTGCTTTATTTTAATGATTCGCGATACGGTGATTCACCTTACAATGCAATATTGGAGGACACATTACCATCGTTATTTGAGGCTTTACTGTACTGTATACCTATACCAAACAACCGACCAGCCATGGCAGCACTCATCCCCTCTTTTAACTTGTCTAATAATTAAACTTTCTTAGTCAGGGTCATCACTGAATTCTGCCTTTTACATTTCACTGCACTAGCATCACCAACACTGACACTAGGCAGTCTTTTAGGGGCCATTTCACACAGAAACACTAAAGTTTTGAGAGTAAAACACGAGATGCTGGGTCACAGGCAATGGTTGAGTGCGAACAGAGGGAGAGGAGAAGCTTCAGGTGCGTGGGGTGACTCATTGTGCTACGGGAAAAGGCTCGCAAGCTAGCCACCAAAGCCACCATCTGCTTACCGCAAATTGTCAAAATCGCAAACCTGTGAATGGCAAGGGTCCACTGTACTACTCATGTTATGTCACAAAAGCCTGCAGGAAGACTCTTGGATGGGAAGTGTGGCCCCCCCCCCCAAAAAGCGGGTGGCACTTAGTATAAAGGAAAAAGTAGAGTTTCTACACTGTCTAGAAAAAGGTGCCTCGGTAAAATCGTTGGGTGACAAATATGGTGATGGTTTATCTACTATCTATAATTTGAGGACAAAAAAAAAAGAGAAATTGTTAAAGTTTTATAGGTATAGCGATGCAGCAAAGTTATGACAGCATATGTGAGATATGGTGATGAAAGAAAATTGTGATAACGATGAACAGAATGACAATGTAGAAAACAAAATCGCTATTGATTTGTGACACAGAACAGAGGAATTTCATTTCAGAGCAACAAATATTTCGAAGTGCCTTTACAGAACCTGAGTCTGAGCCTCAGCCTTCAGTTTCTAGTACTTGTGTTTCTACAGCTAACTCCTCTTCCCAAGATGATCCTGATGTCTCCTCAGATGATGTCTTGTAATTGAGGTTAACCCCGTAACTTATTATCCCTAGAATTCTCATTTTTCTTTAATGTGCAACTTCATAATTATCCTGAGTTGTTCGGTTACAAAAGGTTAAGTTAGGTAAGGTAAAGTTAGGTAAGGTAAGGGGTAGCAGGAGAAAACGGCCCCAGTCAAAAACGGCCCAAACCAGAACGGACCCAGTCTAATCAAAACGGCCCCACCCTGTGACCAAAACGGCCCCACCCTGTGACAAAAACAGCCCCACCGTGTGACCAAAACGGCCCCACCCTGTGACAAAAACGGCCTATCTCTAACCTAACCTAACCAAAACTGACAGTCTGAGTTGGCTGGGTAACTAACCAGAAGTGGCAACTGGTTGTTTGGTCCAATGTTTACATCTAACAGTTGCCACTTGTGGTTAGTTACCCAGCCAGCGTTTCACTCTGACTCGCTTCCGTTCGTCAGTCAATCATAGCAGCTCAGACTGTCAACATGGCTGCTATCATGCTCAGTTTAGGTTAGGTTAGGTTAGAGTTAGGCCGTTTTGGTCACAGGGTGGGGCCGTTTTGGTTAGAATGGGGCCGTTCTGGTTTGGGCTGTTTTCAATTGGGGCCATTTTGTCTCGAAACAGGGTAGAGTAGGGTAGGGTTGGGTTGGGTAAAGTATGGTTAGGTTAGGAATGGTTAGGTAAGGTAAGGTAAGGTAAGGTAAGGTAAGGTAAGGTAAGGTAAGGTAGGTAAGGTAAGGTAAGGTAAGGTAGGTAAAAGGTAAGGTAAGGTAAGGTTAGGTAAGGTAAGGTAAGGTAGGTTAGGTTAGGTTAGGTAAGGTAAGGTAAGGTAAGGTAAGGTAAGGTAAGGTAAGGTAAGGTTAGGTAAGGTAAGGTAAGGTAAGGTAAGGTAAGGTAAGGTAAGGTAAGGTAAGGTAGGTTAGGTTAGGTTAGGTTAGGTAAGGTAGGTTAGGTTAGGTAAGGTAAGGTAAGGTTAGGTTCAGAAAGGTTAGAAAACGTGTACTGCAAGATTTTACTCACAAAGTCAGTGTTTTGTTTACAACCACAATATTGTTAAGGTATATGGTAATTGTATTTCATACTTCTTTCCATTATTGTACTGCATTTCTTTATTTGAAAGTTATATGAGGATTATTACTATTACAGTTTTTTTCTGGCCTGCTCTATTTCTAAAAAATAATAACATTTGTTGCAAACTATTTGGTTTAATTTACCTGTATGTAAATATATAACAGAATTTTAAAAAATTGCAAGGAAATTGGACCACACTTGGAAAAAAAAAACATGAGCTAAAGGTGTTAACCAACCCAGCATACTCTGTACATTCATTATGGAAATGGAACAGTGGAAATGGTACAGGTCAGTTAATATCAATTTCTTTTCTATTTCAAATTTTTACATGTGTTTCATACATTTTAGGCAAATGATCCAAATTATGGAAAAAAAACCTTATCTGAAAACTTCCTAGGTCTCAAGCATTCCTAATCATTAGCTTCTTTTATGAAGATTTAGTTGAAATATAAAGGTATATAATGATAATTTTTGGGTGTAAAGTGAGTTTTACAATAACATTTTAGGGCTAGGGAACTTAACGTCATTATCACAATAAACAAAACTGACCTTCTGTGGGGTCAATAGTAACTAATTGGGTGGGTTGTACAGTACTGTATTTAAATACTTTAATAGCAAAGTACAAAAAGTTATTATCTCATTTTCATACTATAATAATAAATTAAAGTGCAGTACTAAATGCTATTGTCTAAAAAGATATATATAAAATGAATTTCTTGGCACTAGAATTCATAATTGAAATAGAAATAAATACTTACATCATTATGGAAACACACGACCAATTTTCCTTACCTCACACTTGTAGCAGTTGACATGGAATGAGCGATCCAGGGCCACAACTCTGACAGTTTCATCCTTTCCTGGTTCAGGCATGATGGGTTCTTTACACACAGTGCACCGAGGAGCAAACTTTCTGTAATTTTAGATAAAATCTATGTAAAATTTCCAAAAATGAAACAAGGAGCTTTGAATCATCAATAGCACTGATGGTAAACACCATTGATGATCAAGCTTCACCTAAAAAAAAAAAAAAAGTATTCCTGTCCTTTATTGTTGTCAGTAACAGACACTGATACCAGTATCACAGAATTTTCCGGTACTTGTGCATTATTTCATAATCAGAATTTGGTCGCAGACCTGAAAAAAAATTTGATAGATTTTGCTGATTTTTTTTTCCGTAAATTTCAGAAAATGCCCCCGCTCTTCAACCTCGAATTCGTTCCCAAACCCAGTATTGAGAACATTTTCCAAAAAAATTCCAAGCATATTTCAACTCCGGCTATAGGATAGTTCTGGCTAATGGAGATATTACTGCTAATAAATAAAATAAAATAATAGATACTGCATTGCCACTTAGCGAATGTTTCACTACACAATGGATACAGAAGACAGTGAGCAGCTGAAATCCCTAATGCCACTACCCTATCCCCCTCCCCACTTGTGTGTGCTAACTCTGGCACATGAAGATTGTGTCTGCATGTAACAAAATAAAAAAAATTATGTTAACCTATATCTACCTAAAATAAAGGGTTAAAAAACAACCATAAACATAACTGTGGCGTCCTCTCTCTATCGCACTGGTTCCATGAACATATCCCAGGCGTTCTCGCTGGTAAAGTTTTTCTTTACTGGTGAATTTTACTGCAATCATGGCCCCTAAGAGGAAAATTAGTGACAGTGCTCATGGTGGTGAGAGAGAAAAAGAAAGAAAGCACACACACCGTGAGAACTTTTGAAGAAAAAGTTACGATATTGGACGTATTAAGGAGTGGTGTATCAAACTATGAAATTCGTGTCGTTTACCTTAGTACAGTATAAAAAAGGGGATTATACACATATACAGTTATATCTCCGTTAGCCAGAATCCATCAAATCCGAAAATCTCCGATAGCTGGATATTGTGATAAGTATAAATGAGCAAAGTTGTATCCCTTCAACATTGCATAATATTTTAAAATATGGAGTGGGAAAGCAGAAAGGTGTACCAGTAGTGATTTGAGAGATGGAGTGGAAAAGAGTGGTAACATGCACCAGTGTTGCCAAGCGATAAGCTCCACAACAGCTGATCTTTTAATTAGCCTCCGTGCAGTAACACAACAAGACCCTTACTGGATGCTTGTTGTCTTAATTCTAGTGTGTGTGTGTGTGTGTGTGTAACTTCCCATGTAACTTCACTGTAACCTCCTCTGAAGACTCACATTTAATTAGGGAAGTACCAGATATTGCTCAAAGAAACCGTCTGTCTTAGTTCACTTCTCTGAGATGGGTGGACGGATACAAGCAGTTATATGTACACATATACAGCTCCTCCCCGACTTACAACGGGGTTAGGGACCCAAATCCAGGTTGTAAGTCGAAATGGTCGTAAGACGAAAATGCTTAAATAATACATAGAAAATCTAAAATGGGTGTCGCTTTTTCTTCTCAGCACCACAAAGCTCCCACTTTTAAGCTTGCCAGCCATTTTAAAGTGAATTACAAACGAAAATTTTGTCTGTGTACTGACGTTAGGACTCGAAAATACGTAATTTGACAAAATTTTGGTACGACTGAGGCAGGTCGTAAGTGCGGGTGGTCGTAAGTCGAGTAGGTCGCAAGTTGGGGAGGAGTTGTATATTTATACTTGTATCTACAGGGAGGCTGGCCACTTGATCTAGGACTGTGAGCTTGACAGGAGTGTTAGAGATGCTTTTTAGATCTGCTAGGACTGAAGGGGTCTCTCAGTCTACAGCTCAGTGGTAGATCAGTTATGTGTGGTGTCCAGTTAAAGACTGCCTAGCTATACCAGGGCGGACCTACCCCGGCTAACTGACAATGAAGTCACGAAAGGATGATGCATGGGCCCAAGCTTTTAGAAGCTTCTACCAGTTGGAAGAGTTGGCATGAACACCTGAATGACTGTCAGCAGGGTTACTGAAAAAGCTGTCTGGAAATGATCTCGTTAGAGCCGTGAATCATCCTTAATTGACGTTGCAAATATCCAACTAATCTGACTAATAATTTACATCAAGTGCTTGGAAGTCTTACCAGTGATAATCAACGTACCTAGTTATCAAGTAAGAGTCATTAATTTAATAAGTAATGAGCTTCAAAGGTGATATCATCATATTGAGACATCTCTGATGGGCATACTGTCGCCAGACCGTGTATGTGACTAGAGCAGCTGCGTTTGCTACCATGCAATCACACACACACAGATGTGTCTTAATTCCCTGTGTGAGTGGTATTGGAATGTGTCAGTGGTGTTGGAATGTGTGTGTGTGTGTGTGTGTATGTGTTGGTGTGTGTGGTTGTTGTTCGGTCTTCTCAGACTATTCCTTGAAACTGGGTAATGCAGCTCGTTAACTTAGGGTGTGGTTGTAGTGTTGGCGACACTTTCTACACCTTAAACAAATTCACGCCTAGGTGGCCCTTGGGCCAGCCATCCTCGATTTTGAGGGGCTCCCATTATTATTATGCGTGGTTGTTGGAGGGTGTGTTTGTGTGTGATGTAAGGATGTATGTGTGATGTGTGGGTGGTGTTGGCGTGAGATTGACGAAAGCAAACCTTTTAGTGTTAGGGTCACATGGTCAGTCCCTCCTCACTCAAGTGTGGCTAATTGTGATTTGTGATAGGGAGATGAATTTGATACCATAATGATCCTTAATAAATTCTCTACAAAACATTTCCAATAAGATATCCTTAAACAAAATATTTCTGCGATACAGTGATGGGAATTCCATTCCTTTATATATATATATATATATATATATATATATATATATATATATATATATATATATATATATATATATATATATATATATATATATATATATATATATATATATATATATATATATATATATATATATATATATATATATATATATATATAAACGTAAGAAATGTTGATACCAGAGTCAATAAAATCGGTTCTAATTTCGTTACACAACATCTATTTTATCAAAATAATCCGGTATACTTTATCTAAAAGTTTGGTTAAATAAATATATTAAAAAAACAAAAGCTCTATACGATACGGGAGTGAATAGAGCTGTGTTACAACTTGTAGGAGTTGTATTTATTTACGTAAACAACACTGTACAATATTGTTCATACTGTAAACATAATAATGTATACTACTGTATATATTGTACTCACCAGCAGATATGTCATCTTTAGACTAGAATAGGCAGACACTTCACTCAATTGACTGTAATACATAACTAATCATGTCTTAACACTTGTGATGAAGGTTGGGTGGTAGATTATTGGGTCATGTTACTAACCTGACCTGATGCAATGTCAGGTCACCCATTGTTAGGTGGGGGATTAGTGGGTCTTATGACCTGAAGATGTCTTGAATGAAATTTTTTACCGATGAGGTACAGTATATACATACAGTGGTCCCTCGGATAACGAACACAATTCTTTCTGCAGAGTTGTTCGTTAACCGAAAATTTTGTGAACCAAATCTATTATTTCAATGGGATATTGGGTAATTGGTTCCAACTCACAGAAAAAGTACATACAAAGTACTGTATACCGGTAATAGAATTAACAAAACATTAAATATAAACTAAATACAGTACTGTACTGTACAGTATACTGTACTGTACAATAATATATAAAAAACAATAGAATACTGTATTTTAACTTACTTTGTTTACATATCAAACAGCTGATTGTCGAGGCAGTCGATGATGACATGCCATATTCTTTACAGAGTGCATTGGTTCTAATGCCTTCTTAATGTTTCATAATAATTTCTGCATTGTATATTCTCACTATGATTACTAAATTTCAAAATGACCAACAATTTTAATGTACAAAATGCAGAAATATTCAAGAGACCAACAACATCAATGCTCACTCCACTGTAAACAAAGTCAAACTGAGAAGCCTTGTTGGGTGATTCAATCAGCTGATGGGCACACAAAAACGGTTCCCTGTACTGTCTATATTCTCAATATGATAACTAAATTTCAGAATGACCAATAATTTTAATAAAAAAAATGCAGAAATATTCAAGAGTCCAACTTTCTTGATATTTAGTTCACTGGAAACGAATGGAAACATAGAACCAATTACTGTATTGGCGGACTAGCCGATCAGGTGATGCACACAACAAAACGTGTTTGTCGCAAGGATTTCGTTAATCAAAGTTTTGTTCGTTAATCGAACTGAAAATCCTCATGGGAGCTAATTCGTTAACCAAAATTTTGTTAATCGAACCGTTCGTTAACCGAGGGACCACTGTAGAACTATACTGTACTGTATTGTATATGAAAGGTACAGGTATTAATATGCACAGATTATTACAGTAACATATCTTTACTAATTAATGAAAAACAATTAAACAATATTGTATCATGAATGAGTCAGTACAGTAGACAAACAGTGAGGTGGCGCAGTCACTTTTACCCCCCAATTGACCCTTCTTCCTCTTCCTCATTACACTGGTCCCTCGGTTAACGAGCACAATCCGTTCTAGAAGGTTGCTAGTTAACCGAAAAACTCGTTAACCGAAACCATTGTTTCAATGAGTTTTTGGGTAATTGGTTCCAGCTCACTGAAAATTGCCTAAATTCAACAAAAAAGGTAGAAAAGTACACTTACTTTGAGGTGTGTATGTAGAAGGCTCCTGGATGATGATGATGGGAATTAGAATGGGGGTGGAGGAGAAGGGAGAAGAGAAGGCATTGGGGTGGAAGAGAAGTCACTCCATGGCGCTATTTCACCCAATAATTTGCTTGCAAACACAGAAAAAAAGCGTTAAGTTGAAGAGTCTCTCAAGCAAGATGTTACCTCCACTGAAAAGACACAAAGACTGACGCCTGCATGGTGTGTTGAGAGGCTGGATGGCGCGCATAAAACTAGTTTCATTATACCTTCAATTATGTTCAATAATTGTTAAAATGACTAAAAAATTTAATATTAAACTTTTAAAATTATTGAATAGTATAAACTTCTTGATATTTACTAAAATGGTAAGGAATTTAAGCCCTAGAACAGATTACTGTATTGGCGGACTAATACTACAGCTGGTGGACCGCGAAATGCAAGCGAAAACATATTCTGGTCGGCTCTAAAAAAACTCGTTAATCGGGGAATTGCTCGTTAACCGAAGTTAAGAATCTTATGGAAGGTAACTCGTTAACCGAAATCTCGTTAACCGAGGCGCTCGTTAACCGAGGGACCACTGTAGTTCAATAATTTGAGACCTCTAATCCCCCATCCTACCTTCACCTGACAATGAGTCAGGTCAGGTCAGGTTCCCCCCCAAAAATACTTTAACTTTCATCTTTATTCAAAACATTTTCAGAAAATTCTCTCTATTTTCAATCTCGGGAAATTTGTTCCTAAAGCCAGAAATTTTTGGAAAATTCCGACTTTGGGAATGATTTTCCGAGTAAATTTCAATTCTGACTATCAGAGATTTCCGGGTTTGAGGGATTTCGGCTAACGGAGATATTACTGTAGATGTCTTTCTCACTGGGTCCTACTATGTAAATGAACCTTAACTAGTGAAGAATGGGTTGCTTCCTGCACTATTCTACGACCACTAGCTCTTAACCTTTGTGCAACTATGGCTTCTCCATACCCTCAGCTCAAGGGGTAAGGTTAGTGTGGGAGAGGTGGCTGGTTGTTTGATCAGCCCCAGGCCCCAAAGCTTTTGGCTTCCCTGGATTCCTAAGACCTCAGCCTTTGGTAATTATTAATGGGTCACTACAGACAGGCATTAGTTACATAATTAATTAATAAATAAATTAATAAATAAATAATAAATAAATAAATACTGAAGTACTTACTTATGGAAGTCATCTATGCAGTGAATCTGGTTGGAAGCATCAACTGTGAATGGAATGCCATCAAGAGACTTGTTACAGACAACACATGTGAAGCATTGTGGATGATACGGCTTTCCTGTTGCACGTAGAATTCGGTCCAGGATGGGCTTGGTACAGACACAGCACTTTTCCAGCGTGTTCTGCAAACACACTTTATGTAAATTATTTGCTCTTAGCTTTAATTATTAAGAGAATCACCTCATTAGACAATGGAAAATGAGATCATCAGTAAAGTTGCCTTAAATAAAAATGCTATACCGGTATACATTATTATAATACAGTATGAGGAACAAAAATGGGTGTCATTTGGGGGTGGGACAAGGGGGACATGTTCCCATCACCACATTTCATACAGGAAGGGATCAATATATCAATTGTCTCTCCCACTTTTTTATTGAGCTTAACATGAGCTGTTATAAATACACTTATAATAAATATTAATGAATTAAGTGTCACCGCCGCTTAAAAGCATCGCTGTATTTACAAATATCTCGTGCTCACTAGTGATAGCCTATAGCCTAAATAAGTGATAAATGGGACTAGTGGCAACTGTCCCGGACACATGTGTGAGTTTGAGGGGAGAAGGGGTGTGAAGGACAGAGCAAGCCTCCCTGCTTTATCCCTCCTTTGTTCACTGTCTCCTTGACACAGAAACACTAACATGCCATGGCATACATGTACTGTATAGCTTAGAGGGCATAACAACTTTTATTCAAGTGTCTCTGCATTGTGACATACAATAGAACCTTGATAAATTGGAATTAAATTGGGACCCCAGTCCCAAAAATGTGAATATAAGGGGGGGGGGGATAACACTGCTTATCTAAACTATTTAAAGAAAATCAGTTGATGTTATGTTATTACTGCACTTCAACAACTCAGGTCCTTCAGTGTATAACAAGGTTATTAAAAACATATTACATCAACAATAAAAAACTATGAAACAGAACTCTCTGGGTTGAAAATCAGACATGTAAGTCTGGTTGTCGACAACTATTGCCACTGAGATGATTGTTATTTACTGTAGTAGGTAGTAGGCAGCTACCAAACAGGGAGGTACTACTGCCTGGGAAGATATTGGAAGCATAATGTGTTGTCTAATGGTAGACCCTGCTGCCATATGGCATCACGAAAATTGTGACCAAGTCCCAGGTTGCTGATCTGACTTTCTGCCTCATTTACACACAATTGTAGGGTCTCAATTGTTTCTATTACATGACAAAACAACATACATATATAGTGTTCCTCACTGTTGATTTTTTTTCATTCTTGCATTTCTTTGTATTCATTATTATCACAGTGTTGTTATTATTATTATTACCATTAATATTTTATTTTCTATGAATTATTATTATTATTAAATTTTTGCCCCCCGGGCCCTGATGTGGGTCAGTGACCTGTGCCCGGGTGGGATAATCCCTGTAAAAAAAAAAAAAAAAAATATGTAAGTAACCACCAAATTTGTCTTATGAATAAAGAGAAAACTATTCTGTACAGTACTATAAAGATACAAATAAGTGTAGGAGTATATTGTATGTGGAAGACGAGTGTTTATCTGGGAGCAGCTGGCAGAGAGGAGGGGAGAGGAGGGGAGGGGGCAACACAGGTGGGTACTCTCTCCCCCAAGATTCCTTAAACACTTTTTTATGCAATTTCACCATAATTCTCATATACTGTAATTTAGGATCATTTGGTGCCAGGTTGATAAAAATTATCCTGAAAGAATCAGGTTTCATGAAAAAAGAATCCCACTTTCAACACCATGAATCAATTGTTTACAAAGGTCAAACAGCTGATAGACTTACCCCAATGTCTCTCTTCAACACTTAGTAAATTAGTACAGTACAGTTGTGTATTTATCATCACTTAATAAATACTATTGCAGTGTATTTATCACCATTTAATTAATACTATTGCATATTTATCCTCAGTTAATAAGTAATATTGTAGTACAGTAAGTCCTCGCTTAACGTCAGGGTTAAGCTCTTGAAAACGCGAAGTTATACGAAATATCGTTAAGCGGATCAATTTTCCCCATAAGAAATAGATAAAATACGGGGGTTATGTTCCCGAGCCTCTCTCTGCCCCATGAAATACATTACATATACATAAATTCAAAGCTCCTTGTGTGATGCCTGGTGAGGTGCTTGTATGCATTACTATAAAGTCACATCATTTGACATGTTATAAGCTTAAAACTTAAAATTTCCTCTGTATGACATTAGGTAACCTTCTCAAACCTTCCCTGCTGCTGTCATAACAAATCACCCCCCCCCCTTCTGGCAAGATTGAAGGTGGTTTTAGGTTTAAAGGTTTTATCTTATAAAATTGCACAAACTAAAGTTAGCAGAATGTAAATTACTTGCAGCTATCAAATAGGGAGGTACTACCACCGGGGAAGAGATTGGAAGCATAATGTGTTGTCTAATGGTAGACCCTGCTGCCATATGGCATCACAAAAATTGTGACCAAGTCCCAGGTTGCTGATCTGACTTTCTGCCTCATTTACACACAATTGTAAGGTCTCAATTGTTTCCCTTACTATGACAACACAACACACATATATTGTTTTTCACTCTTGATTTTTTTTAAATTTTTGTATGTCTTTATTATTATTATTATTATTATTATTATTATCATTATTATTATTATTACAGTATTTCATTAATTTTATTTTTATATATTTATTTATTTTTATATATTAAATTATTTTTATTATGAATTATGAATTATCATTATTATTATTATTACTTTTTGCCCCTTCATCACAAGTGTTAAGACATGATTAGTTATGTATTACAATCAATTGAGTGAAATGTCTGCCTATCCTAGTCTAAAGATGACAGATCTGCTGGTGAGTACAATATACTGTATACAGTAGTGTACATTATGTTAACAGGATGAACAATATTGTAGTGTTGTTTACGTAAATAAATACAACTCCTACAAGTTGTAACACAGCTCTATTCACTCCCGTATCATATAGAGCTTTTGTTTTTTAATATATTTATTTAACCAAACTTTAAGATAAAGTATAGAGGATTATTTTGATAAAAAAATGGTGTCCAACGAAATTAGAACTGATTTTACTGACTCCGGTATCAGCATTACTTAATTTTTTATATATATATATAAAAGAATGGTATTCCCATCACTGTCATATCAAAATATTTCGTTTAAGGATATCTTAGTGGAAACGTCTCGTAAAGAATTTATTAAGGATCATTATAGTATCAAATTCATGTTCCTATCACAATTAGCCATGCTTGATTGAGAAAGGGGAGGGGAAGGGGGCTGACCTTGCGATCCTCATTCCCTCAACCCCCAAAAAGGTTCAGCCAACAACACTCAGCCCAAATTACCCACACTGTGCTACACACACCAACACCACCCACACATCACGCATACACCTCTACATCACATACCCCCTCCATCAACCACCCAGACACACCCTACAAACACCCCCACACAAGGGAATTAAGACAGCAAGCATGAGGAGTGAGGGTCTTATTGTATGACACACATCTGCCTCTGTGTGACTGCATGGTAGCGAGTTATATATCAGCTGTTGAGGAGCACTTGACAACACTCATTTTCACTCCATATTTTAAAAAGTTATGTAACATAAGGTTCAAGGGATACAACTTTGCTCATTTATACTTATGGTATATCTGTACTTATCATAATCTCACAAAAAAGTACTTTAGGTTTCATGTTTATTCAAGATATCTTCAGGTCATGAGACCCACTAATCTCCCAGCCAAGAAAGGGTGACCTGACATTCCATCAGAAGGTCAGTAATATGAGACCACTAATCCCCCACCCTACCTTCACCAAACATTGCGTCAGGTCAGGTCGGTTACATGAACTCCATATAAATGGAAAATACCAGTCTTTGCTGTAACACACAGTTTCATTCACATCCATATCATATATATTTTAAAATTTTAAATATATTTACTTAACCAAACTTTCAGATAACCTATTCTGGATTATTATAGTAAAGAAATGGAGTTTCTAACTTAATTAGAACTGCATTTACAAACTCCGGTAGTTTACACTCCAGGAAAACATCTCCAGCACCCAGAAATATTCTGGGGAAATGGGCTAGTGTCCGTGTGTGCAAGATGTCTAGTTTAGACACTCGGTAAATTTTCCCAGTAACCGGAAAATATTCCAGGGATAAAGAATTTTTCCAGGTTTGAGAAAGTCGTCTGATTAGCCGGAAATCTCGCATCCCTGGAAGTGGTCTGCACCAATTATTCCGGCTAACGGATATATCACTGTAGTACAGTAAAGCCTCCGATAACGACAGTTCAACTAATTTTGGACTCAATTCAATTTACGTCATTATTTTTTTGCATTGACGAGGAAATTAAAAAAATATTACATTTTCGTATAAATAATAACTAAATCCCGATACAGTATAAAAAAAAAAAAAGCTTTGCACACGGAGGCTGCTGGGCTTGTTAGTGGTGATGCCAGCATCACTAGTATAAACAATCGCAGCTGGCGGGCCCTTTGTTTTCAAGCAACTGAACAGGAACAAGAGAAAAACTTTCTAAGGTTTCTTACAGCATTTTTGCATTCCTATTCAACATGAGCAAGAGAGCAAGTGATGGTAGTGTTGTTTCAAAAGCTAATAGAAAGTATATAAGCTTAGCCGAGAAACAAGATGTGTTAAAACAATATAAAAAAGGTGAGAGGTCTGTGGATATTACATGGAGCAAGCAATGAACATATTTTCTGAAGTGGAACCATTAACAGAACAAAGCATTAAAATTTAAATAAATGCAAATGACCTCTACATAAAGATGTATAATAAGAAAAGAAAGCAGCTGTGCATGGTTCTTTCGACAGCTTTATTATTCGAAGGCCTAAACCATCAACTTCAGATACACCATCAAATTCAGCATCATAAGCAGCTTTAACAACAACTTCAGGTTCAGTAACAGCTTTATGGAAAGCTACAGCAAGGAAAAACTTGCACAACATCATTGGCTGTCCTTATGTTTTAGACTTTACCACTATTGGCGAGTAGAATTTTTGTTTTACATTCATAAATATTATTTAAAACATATATGAACAGTAAACAGGTGTTGCTTTCATATTCATATGAAGGGAAATGAAGATATGTTTTCACATGTACGCACTTACTGTACATACGTTGGCGTTCCCAATCATCTCGCTTTATTTCTTTACAATTAGTGGTTAGCTACTTCAAGTGTTCCATTTATTAATATTAAACAACATTACTTAAAACATATATACAGCAATTAATTTTTTTTAAATTAAATTCACTACAGCTACAACCAGGGTCTTATTTTCTTCAGTTTCTTATGGAGAACCATCGTCACTCACGAAAACAATGCCGTCTTGACTCCTCGTGTGTTTTAATATTCTACGTATTATTTATGAATTGCAATGTTCATTTCACACATATAAATATAAATTCAATTAAATACATATTCAGTAATAAACACTAATGAATTTTTTGTACATAATCCTAAGATAAATGACTATGTTTCCTTCAGTGTGCACGTATACATTGGCGTTCCACTATCAGTCTCACTTTTTTCTTTATATCAGTGGTTACTTCTACTATACATTAAATAACATAAATTAAAACATACATAATTTTTGCATTAATTTTACTACAACAACAACCAGGGTCTTATTTTCTTCAGTTTCTTGTGTAGAACTATCGCCCCGGCCTCCCATCTCCTCTTGTTTGACCATATTATTCTTCATTTATATTGTAAAAGGTGCATTCAGAAACATTATTTAAAGAATATAGTTTGCAATTTTCATTAATTGTATTGTTTTGGGGGGAAAGGAGGGTAAAAGGCCACACAAAAGACATGCAAAGGTCACACTTGGGAAAGGATCTCATTATTATTGCTTTAGTGTATTTTAATGGCAATTAATGATTCACTAAACGATGATTCACCTTACACTGCAATATTGGAGGACACATTACCGTCGTTATTCAAGGCTTTACTGTACTTATTGTTTGTTCATGTCTTTTTCACTATCAACCACAAAATACGCTATGTTGAATGGTGAAATTTTGAAAAACGCATCAAATCTGAGTCTATAATTTACAAAGTTCTGTTGCTAAATATCGAAAGAGAAATTTATTTGGAAACAAATTCTTCGCAGAAGTACTGATGTCACATTGTTCTTAGGAGAAGAAGGCTTCGCATTTTTTTTTTGTGGAATAGCCCACCTGGGCACAGGTCATTGACCCACAACAAGGTCTAGGGAGCAAAAAATAAGAGTAAAAAGAAATTAAAAATAGAAAAGAAAAAGATTACAGTATATTAATCTACACCACGAAGATGTTGGAAAACAAGATTTTTAAAGTGAGACAGATTGTATGGGTATGGAAACACAGAAAAAGGCAGAGCATTCCATAGTTTGGCTGTGTGAGGAAAGAAGGAGGCACTATAACGGGTTATTCTAGTGTGACCGACATCCACAGAGAAACGGTGGGCACCGCGGGCAAGACGAGCGTTACGAGCCCACGACCTTGCCGGCGGTACACAGGATGCAAAATCCACTGAACATTGCCCGTTAAAGTACCTGTAAAAGAGAGAGTGAAGCAAAGAGAGAAAGGGAAGAGAGATTATCAACTAAAGGAGGAGAGTTAATAAAACGAAATGCCTTTGATTCCACCCTATCTAACAGTTGGACAGAAGATCCACCCCATATATAAGAGCAGTACTCCAAGTTAGGATGAATGAATCCTTATAAACTTGAAGCAACTGCTCAGGAGTGAAGTAACTACGACATCTGTACAGCATTCTCAGCTTTCGGGAGGCAGCTTTAGCAATGTTGTGGATGTGTGGCTTCCATGACATATTAGAGGAAATGGTGAGGCCTAGCATATCTATTTTTTAATTTTGCAGAATGATTGCATCCTGAAATATGAGGCAAATGTGAAGCAATAATAGTCATATTGGTGATCAAAATAATGGTTAATTTTTTAGGAATTTTAGAAATGATTAGTAACTATGATCCATTTCTTGAAGAACATGAGAAATGTTCAAACTTCTCAAGCAAGTCATAATAAGCTTCAGTTTCACTATTTGTCTCCTCAAATTCAGAATGAGGTAATTAACTGCTAAGCAGATGAATTGATGATGCTGTCCTAACTGAAAGAAAGGCAGCAAAATACTATTCTTTGATAGTCGATGTAACAACTGACTCGGCTTATCTATAACAAACTGTCTGTGTTCTGCGTTATAAGCACCGAAACACATAAAATGAATGTTACGAGGTTCAAGAAAGGTTGCTCGAGTTTGTGGACTGCAATAAAGGACTGGAGAAAAGATTGCAAAGCTAAATATTAATATACTTTTTAGGCACAATATACCCATTTCAGACTGTCGTGGCCAAGTATATGACAATGGCAGCAATATGAGTGGATCATACAAAGGTGCTATAGCGCATCTTTTGCAAAATAATCCTCTTGTATTTTACTCACCTTGTACATGTCACAGTTTAAACCTTTGTGGTGTACATGCAGCTGAATGTTGCCCAGAGGTGATTACTTTTTTTTAATGTTTTAACTATTTTGGGTCCAAAATTAGATTTTATTCAAAATCTCAGTACTGTATAGATAATCCTGAGCATGCTGATTCCGAATCTATGGTCCATGACATGATTGCAGTGTAATAATTAGTGGGCGTAATGATGCTTAGAATATTTTCATTATTATTTTTTCAATAATGCTAATTACTCCTCAACTATGGGTTTCTGAGGTGCAATTTTGGTGTTTTTGTGTTATTCTGGAAGTATTTAATTAGATAAACCCCTTAAATTCCAATTCAGAGATAAAAGTATAGTTATGATCATTTTCATGGTTACTAATAATTATGACAGGATTGTTACTACAATATTTGATAATGGCAACATAATCCTGACTACGTAAGCTTTAATTTTTGACAAGAATGATTGCGTTATCACAATTAGCTCAAGAGATATTGTGAATTCCATTTTCCAAAACTTTAACCATATTTTCTGGTGTTTCTTTTTTTGGCTCATATATCCTCATTAGATCAAAGTGAAGATATGGAGTGAAAACATGCTGGATGTTTACATAATCATGTACTGTACAATACTGTATGTTACTAATTACTTTTTCTAACTCAAAGTATGAGTTTTAAACTGAAAGGTATGAACTACAGGCACAAGCCTCTTACATATACCAATAAAACACTTACACACAAACAGAAATACCTTTTTCTTTTTCAAAAAAATAAAAAATAAATAAAATTATTGTGGTTACATCTTGACAACTGCACAAATAACCTCCAAAAATTTTAGAAGATTACTTACTAAGTAGCAGTCTTCACAGTAAGGTTTGGAGTCGAGAGCATAGAAGGGTTTGCCCTGCAGCTGGAGATGACACACGATGCAAATAAAACACTTGATGTGGTACACTTGTTCCATTGCCGTGCAACCCGTCCCCTCACCCACTACTTTCTCCCCACATCGGGTGCAGATACCTGGTGTAGCAAGAAAACACCTTCCTCAATAAGACAAAGTTAATGAACATGATAAGATATGAGTATATATACTTGAAACAATTGATGAAATATTAATACAAACTGGAAGGGTAAGATAGGAGATGCATCAGGTGAACCCCAAAAAGTCCACCCCCTCACCACACTAAAAACACCACAAAATCACAGTTCAAAGACATGGTACAGCTTTAAATTCACTTAAAATATGATGTTATGGAAGCACTGGCATTTCCTGAATTTGTTAAACCACCCTTTGCTGACAACAAAAAACTCGTTGTCTGAAGGGCCTACCTCTAGTTGCTCCACATCTTTGTTCAGATGGCATGTCTTTGTACAAATCAAGGGAGCATTGAGAAGCATCCTTTTCTTGGTTTGGGAACAATAGGGGTCGATTCCCCAATGACAAGAAACCCCAATATCATATCCAAAAAACATGAAATCAGTTCCTGGACAACAAACAAGACCTACCTAACTAATGATTAATAGTAAACAACTACAGTATTTTCTCGATTTAACAAACTAGTTAAAGCCACCCCTTTCCGGTAAATCAAAATTTCTGCAAAATCGAATTTCCATTATTTTCGCTCGATTCAGTAAACTAGTTCACTAAATTGATCGCGATTCCGTTAAATTCCGCCGCTTTCCATGTGGGGTTTGTTTACATCCGCTCAGTCTGTGTCCTACCAGCACCGCTTGTGTTGTTCACTGCTACCTCTTGGTCTACCTCTCGATCAACTAACTACTGTGCTAGACATAATGCTGAAAGTCTCTCAGACGTCTCAGAAAGGAAGTACAAGTAGTGTAGGGGAGAAAGTCAAAATAGTGTGGCAATCAATTGGAAAAAACCTTGGAAATAATAGAAAAAATTGAAAACAAACACCAAAGGTAAGCCATGAATAATGTTTCTAATGTTACTATGTATAATGAAAGACAAAAGTCGTGTGGTGAAATTTGGTGAAAGCATATGCCGAAGGGCTAAGCTTTTGGTGCGCTCTGCCTTGTGGTAGGGGGTTCTCATAATGTTTCACGAGTTACATTTAATCTTCAGACAGTGGAGTGAACATCGAGTCCATTGGTCTCTTGAATATTTTTGCATTTTTACATTAAAATTATTGGTCATTCTGAAATTTAGTTAACATATTGATAATATACAGTGCAAAAATTATTATGAAACATGAAGAAGGCATTAGAACCAATGCACTCTGTAAAGAATATGGCATGTCATCATCGACTGCCTCGACAATCAGCTGTTTGATATGTAAACAAAGTTGATGGTAATATGACATACACACCTCAAAGTAAGTTAAAATACAGTATTCTATTGTTTTTATTTATGATGGTACAGTACAGTGGTCCCTCGGCTAACGAACACAATTTGTTCCAGAAGGTCGTTCATGAACCAAATCCAATTTTTTAAATGGGATATTGGGTAATTGCTTCCAGCTCACAGAAAAGTACATACAAAGAAAAAAAAATGCAGTAAAGTACACTTACTTTGAGGTGTGTATGTAGAAGGCTCCTGGTTGATGATGATGATGGAAATTAGAAGTGGGGGTGGAGGAGAAGGGAGAAGAGAAGAAAGTGGGGATGGAGGAGAAATCACCTTTCAGGGAAACATGCTTGATGCAGTCATTTCACCAATAAAATTTTAAGTTCACTAGGTGTAATTCAAGATTATTTTCTTTAAATCAACACTGCACTGCGCTATATATTATCAATATGTTTACTAAAGTTCAGAATGACCAATAATTTCAATGAAAAATGCAAAAATATTCAAGACACCAACAAAATAGATGCTCTCTCCCTGGTTTCAAAACTCAACTGACGCCTTGTGACAGACTCATGCATCTGATGGGCGCACAACAAACTAGTTCCCTGTATTGCATATATTATCAATATGTTAAATAAATATTAAAATGACTAATAATTTTAATATAAAACATGCAAAAATATTAAAAAGCACAACTTATTGATATTTAGTCCAATGGAAACGAATGTAAACATAGAACAGATTACTGAATTGGCTGAGTACCCCACCAGCTGATGCTCACAACAAAACGTGATTTTCGTAAGGATTTCGTTAATCAAATTTTTGTTCGTTAACTGAATTGAAGATTCTTATGGAAGGTAATTCGTTAACCGAAATTTCGTTAACCGAGGGACCACCGTATACTGTACAGTACAGTACTGTATTTAGTTTATATTTAATGTTTTGTTAATTCTAATACTGGTATACAGTACTTTGTATGTCTATGTTTTCTGTGAGATGGAACCAATTACCCAATATCCCATTGAAATAATAGTTTCAGTTAATAACCGATTCTGTGGAACCAATTGTGTTCGTTAACCAAGGGACCACTGTATATATATATATATAATCCATAAAAGCAGTCAAAGGCCAATCAACGCTGAGCGCTCTCAGTTTCCAGTACAGTACAGTACAAATTTTGCAGCACTTACACTGTGGACACATTCTTGTTGATGCACTGATTTTTTTAATTACTGTGACCAGCTGTTATCTGTTGCTGGTTTAGTGCTTTGTTGATAAGTCCCCATGACTACGTACAGTTAATTAATAAATGCACTTTAAATTTTAAATTAAGTATAGGTCTTCCTGTATGATACAGCATTGTGTGTGATTAACTGAAGCACAAGTTTGTGGTGGCGGGTTAAAGATCAACTGTTAAGGAGTGCTTGGCAACACACATGATGTGTGTTACCACTCTCTTCCACTCTACCTCTGTTATCACCCTCACCTTTCTACTTTTTTACTTCATATTTTAAAATGTTATGTAACATAATGTTGAAAGGATAGAAGGGATACAACATTGCTCATTTACATTTACACTCAATTTTGTGGGTAGATATCAGCTATTCAATAGTGTCTGGCAGTGCTGCAGGTGCAGTGTTACCAAAGAAACCGAGACACAACACCTTAAATTATAATTTCAGTGATGCAGAGATGTACGCTTCAACCAGAACAGAGCCAAACTATACCCACTGCCTCCCTCCCTCCCACTGTGTTTTAATCTCACCTACATGCTGTCTCTCACTCATTCTACTACAAGTGTCACTATTCATCAAATGAATACCTGTTATTCATTAACTGGTATAGTAAAGGTACATTACTAAAATATGTATACAGCTCCTCCCCGACACACGACCGCCTCAGTCGTACCAAAAGATTTAAAATTACGTATTTTCGTGTCGTGAAATATAAACACTCATGAAAATGCATAGATTCGTAGAAAATCGGACTTCCTTAACACTTAAAAAATAAGAAAAATGAAGAGCATGGGTGTTTATGTGTGGGAAGTGAACACGTGAGGAGGCAGTGGTCTGTAAATGCGTTGCCGTCTCACCAGCCTGGCCACCCCATTTATTTGTATTAGCCCCTGCCTTATTGGCAGAAGTATTTATATAAATGGGTTAATTACATTAGACTTATATACTCTATCACCCACTGTAACTTTCCACTAGCTATGAGGCTCATGTTCAGAGTACGTGATAAGGTGTGCCCACGGGAAGTCACATCACTTAGTGCCGGGTTAAGCATTAAGTAACCGGCTCTCTGGCCACCTATTGCAGGCAGCAGTTTGATATCCCTTACTAGAAGAAGACATTATTGAGAGCCATCGTGGATGGTTCCGTCTTCCTTCGAGGGAGGACATCGGATATATTTCCGTTCTCCCTCAAGGGATCCCTACTCATTCTCACTCACTGCTCATCGACAGGACGTACTTAGCAAAGCTATTTAACATAGCCTCGGTCCTCATTTAACACTCATAGCTACAGTGATTAAGTTATAGTGAAAATCCTTTTTGAAAGTGTACATAGAACTCTTTTATAATAAATACAAACAAAGGAACATATTAGATTTCACAACAGAAGATCCAATAAACCTTGAAAAATATTTTAGTATGCTAGAATATAAGGTAACTTGCTTCACAAATGAATGTTACAGGTGGTGACAACCCAGGAAGGTTGTTACATACAGTATATGACAGTTTCACAAATAACTGTTATATTCATGGTAACAGTCACCTCAACAGATACACAGTTGGTAAAGGTAGAGGTATTATGTTCTCCCCATTACTGTGTCTTACTGTTACATTACTACTTAAGAAGCAAATTGTTATACTATATTGTTACATGTAATGAAACTATTAAAGTTGTGGAAAAATCATTACAATACTCTATTCTGGCTATAAATAAGGAAAATATAATATAAAATTAAAAAATAAGACAAATGAAGAGTATCGGTGTGTATGTGTGGAGGCAGTGGGATGTAATTGTGTTGCCGTGCTCACTCCCCGATGTGACATCATGGCATACACACAACACAGATACCACTTCTCTGCGAGTCAATTGGGTGACTGCCCAGCTGAAATGGGTTGCGTCACCCAGAGGATGGTTTCAGTGGGGAATGAGCTATTTTTAGTACAGAAAATATGTTATTATATTTCATTATATACTATGTACCAATTTTATTGTTTATCATAAAAAAAATTTGCTCATTTTTGAGGTGTGCAAATTGAAATTTGTCCAAATTAGGCTAACCTTCTGCTAACTAGATCATTTCACTCTGAATCACATTGCTTATATAAAGTGGAATAAGTGTTTAAGAACTGTCCAATAAATATGGCAGCTCAGCCCCAATGTTTTGCAGTAATTTTAAAGCTACAATTCTAGATGATTTGGGAGGAATTAATATGATTATTATTTCATTCTGGTGCCGGCTGATTGAATCTGCCAGTTGACCTTCCAGATAACCAGGATTCTACTGTACTAAGCTGATAGTAATGTAATGGCAGATCCAGGGGATCTGGACCCCCCTTTTACATCAGAAAATTCCAAACCTTTTTCTTTAATTCAGTACTGTATGCAGATATTTTTGTATAGTAAAAAGTAATTACTGTACTATTAGCCTGAGAATATCTCCTAATATCAAGTGCACATGGACTCAAAATGCCCATGATATTGGTCAGATTTAAATTTTTTTCCAGGGCTGCCTTACAGCCCCCTCCCCCTCCCAAAAAAACCCAGCTGAGTAGGCTCGCTGTGCTTGCCATGTTCCCTTACCCAAAATTACCGGTAATTGGATCTCCCTTTTGATATTCCTGGATCTGCCCCTGGAATGTGAGCCTCAGTCTTGAAAAGTGCTTCCAAGATTACTTTATACTATGAGAAGCATCACCTAAATGACTCAGAAATTACCTATAACGTAAATTACAACTTTTCCCTCCCGAGACTCTGGATTCTATTTTCTAGCAGATGGCATGTTTCAAGTTTTTTTTTTTTTTTTTAACCAGCCAGCAGATATGAACATGATTTCTCATTAACATATATCAGAGGATAAAAGAAGAGTGAAGGTAGGTTGTGAGTACAGTATATTATATAATGGAAGCCCCTCGAAATCGAGGATAGCCGGCCCAAGGGCCTCCTAGGCGTGAATTTGTTAAGGTATAAAAGCTGTCACCAAAACAACAACCACACCCCAAGTTAACGAGTTGCATGACCCAGTGTTAAGGAATAGTACGCGAAGACTGGACAAACTCGCCAACTGCAGTGGTTAACCATTACCCTGGAATACGATCCGCAAATCTATTAACATCCAGGCTCCCAATTACTGCTGGGTAGAGAGGCAAATGGCGTAAAGAAACTTGCCTATAGTTTCACCCTGCCCGGGGATCGAACTCAGGTCCGCTCGCTTGCGAGGCGAAGATGCTTACCAATACACCATAGGTCGCCAGTACAGTATATACAAAGGTGCTCCCCATTACAACTAATGTATGCCATACATGTACACCATGCAGATCAATGATTATTAATGTGGAAGATGGGAAGGGGACACAAAATCTCATTTACAAATAAAATTAGTAAACATGGAAATTAAAGAGGTATTAAATACAGTGGGGTCTCATTTTGCACGGGTATATCATACAGGTACATGTCCACGCATCGGAAATTTGTGCAAGTGATGCCCTTTAACAAGCGTTAAAATCACTACATTGTACCGGACTTGCCAGACCTTTACTTTTGAACTACTTTGGGTAACCAACTTAACCTTCCAAAAATGACATATAATGTCATATTAACTGCATCAACATTTAATATAAATATTTTAAGAAAGCCCAGGAAGTTAATTATGCAATACTCCACCGAATAGTGGAGGTGTGGAAGACTCTGGGAGACGATGGGGGTCCAAGGCAGGGGGTGAAGGCTACTCAGATTCAAAGTGTTGAAAATTAAATGCAGACACTTGTAAAGTGTCTGCAGAGTGGAAGGGTCATGGTCACTGGATTCTCTTTGAATTGTTGAAGCATAAAATAGGCAGCGACGAAAGCTTGATGGTGACATTAAATAAACTCCTGGAAACGTTGTCTGTAGGGTTCCACCAAATTGTCTAACTGTGCACCGAGTTTGTCACGTTGCTGAGAACTTGCATCACCTGCCGCTGAGTCATGCATCCCTCGGTCAGCTCTGGTACCTTCATACCACCAACACTGATTTAGCTTGTTGTTTTATTTTGAAATAAAATTATATATTGTATTTTGTTCTATTATTTTATACTGTATGTTATATTATTTATGATGGAACATACACCGTAATAGGCTGATCATATATCATACTAGAATATAATAATGAATAAATAAAAACAAACTACTGACTCAGGCAACAGCCATCCCCACCTTCAGGACGTTTAGACATGGTGTCTTCTCTTGTTGATACCAGTGTCTATAAAATCAGTTCTAATTAAGTTAGAAATAAAATTTTTGGACCAAAATACTGTACTCCTAAATAGTTTATTAAAAGTTTTGTAAAATATATATACTGTATTTAAAAAAAAACACATAAAATCATAAAATCTATAGGATACAGACATGCAAGGTGCATACACTCAGTTACATGGGAGAAAGGACAAGCAACCCTTGTAGTGGGGGGGGGGGGGATTAGATTGCATCAACCCTTCCTTCCCCCACCACACCCTGCCTCTACCACTCTCTCCTCCACGTCCTATATACACCCTCCATAATTGTTTAAGTAAATAAGAACAAGAATAGATAAGGTATGAAAAATCTTGTAAAGAAATAAAAGAAAAATAGAGGAAATAAATCAAAGAAAAATAAAGAAAAAGAAAGAAGAGTACAGTAATTAAAGAATAAATAGAAAATAGAGATAAGAAAGAAACATAATGTCTGTGGGAAAAAAAAGTAAATTTATCATCATTCTCTCATGTTACTGACAGGACCTGACCTGACCAGATCTGACCTATTGTATATAAACTTCTCTCATTTTGTGAAGGTGGGGTGAGGGATTAGTGGGTTCTAATATCACTGTCCTCATACACTGTAAGGTCACCCATTGTTGGGGTGGGGAATTAGTGGGTCTCATGACCTGAAAATGCCTTAAATAAAAACCAAAGTACCTGTAATATAAATGTACTACTGCACAGTACACTTTACCCTCGTTAATTCCAATTTCGGGTTAATTCATATTTTTTTTTATATAAATAATGAAAAAAAATTTAATTTAGAAATGAATCTGAAATAACCACGCAGTTCCAAAAAGTCAATTATTAATATAGGAATATATTATGAAATAAATTAAGATGAATGAAATATAGGAATAAAATATGAATTATATTAAGATACAAAACTATGTTTGAGTGCATAGGTGAGGGGTGGCAGAGTAGGGAGGGAGGGAGAAAGGACAACTCAACACCTCCCGCTCGGCAGCCTGCCATCCCTTTATAATGAGAGCATGCAATTTCACCACAATTCCCATATTATTTTGGTTAATAATATAACATGAAAAATAAAAAATAAAAAAAAATAAAAAAAAATCTAACATTCAATCCCAGATGAGCTATTGTGCTTTCTTGTTTACAGTACAGAGTGGTATCAGCTCATAGTTCTTGCTCCCTCTAGCAATGTTGCCAGCACTCACCATATCTCAAGCAGTGGATTTTTTTTTGTAATTCGAGTGACCCAGAGCCCCCTTTTGTCGAATTAACCGAAATAAGCAAAAGATCACTAAATTAATGCTATACCACTACCACTTTAGCAAAGCATTTGACAGAGTGCCACATCAGAGGCTTCTGAGAAAAGTTAAGGCTCATGGTATTGAGGGGAAAGTTTTAAATTGGATAAAATCATGGCTCACCGATAGAACGCAGAGGGTCAGCGTAGATGGTGTTAAATTTGAGTGGGGCTGTGTAACCAGTGGGGTTCCCCAGGGGTCAGTACAAGGCCCACTCTTGTTCATAATCTACATAAACGATGTAGATACTGGGATCAGCAGTGACATAAGCAAGTTTGCGGATGACACCAAAATAGGGCGGCAGATTAATTCAGGGCAGGATGCAAATGCACTACAGGAGGATTTAAATAAACAGCAGGGGTGGTCTGAAAAATGGCAAATGAAATTCAACACCAGCAAGTGCAGCGTTCTTAATATTGAAAGAACAGATACTGGCAATGTATACAGCCTTAACAACATCAACCTACAGAAGTTGACTGGTGAAAGAGACTTAGGGGTACTTGTAAGTCCGGACCTACGGCCTAGAAAACAGTGCGTTAATGTTCGAAATAAGGCAAACAGAGTATTAGGTTTTATATCTAGAAGTGTAAGTAATAAGAGTGCAGAGGTCTTATTGCAACTATATCTTGCGCTAGTCAGGCCGCACCTCGATTATGCGGTTCAGTTCTGGTGCCCTTATTATAGAATGGATATCAATTCATTGGAGTCGGAGCAGCGAAGAATGACGAAAATGATTCTGGGACTTAGAAACCTTCCATATCAAGATAGGTTAAAGAAACTAAACTTGCATTCCCTAGAAAGACGAAGAGTGCGGGGAGATATGATAGAAGTATTTAAGTAGGTGAAAGGAATCAATAAAGGGGATATAGATAAAGTTCTTACAATATCCAGGCAGGATAGGACTCAGAGCAACAGATTTAAGTTGGATAAGTTTCGGTTTAGGAGGGAGATAGGAAGAAACTGGTTCACAAATAGGGTGGTGGACAAGTGGAATAAGCTTAGCAACTTTGTAGTAAGTGCTGGAACGCTGGAAAGTTTTAAAAGGAGGCTAGATAGATTCATGGATGATAGAGAGTGGTAGTAACTCTCGACAGGAGCTGCCATGCACAGGCCAACCGGCCAATTGCAAACTCCTTAAAAATCTTACGTTCTATAACTATGGTCACATTTCAACCAACCGCCTAAGCAATAACTGCGCATGCGAGACCCACATAAAATGAGACCCACTGTAATGTTAGAATCCTATTAGTCACTTCGTTAAATTCAGTACGAGTTCAGAAAATATATGTATTCAGTTTTATTATTGTAAGTTTATTTAATCTTCTAATCTTTATATAATTGTAAGTGCTTATTCATTGTCTATATTTTTATAAGGCACACAATACTTGTTATGTTTCACACACTAAGAAGGTTGTTAAACAGACTAACAGACTGCACTTATCAACTGAATCCATAATGCAAGAAAAGAAACAACTGTAATGTACTTATTACATTACATGATAATTAAATAAAAAACAAACAAAAAACAAGAACAAAACCGAGATGCACATACACGAGTCATACGCACCAAAGAACTCTGGGTCATTGGTACTGTCCATGGACTGCACTAGAAGGCTGGTGAGAGCATCCACTTCTGCTTCTTTGCCAACTTTATCAGGATTGAGCAATGGTTGATTAGTGGGTGCTGGAGCCAAACCTCTGGCCCGTGGTGAAGTATAGGGCCCATAGAGGCTGTACCCTGACTTGTTGGACATTTGACTTGAGGGTCGTGGAGTGATGGGTTCGTAAATAGATTCGTAAGTAGAACTCTGCAAGAAAAACAGAAAGTGTAGTAACTTCAAAATACAGTACTGTATGACGAAATGTAACTTTAAAGAAAATAAACAAGCTGATTCACATTACTTATAAATATCTAATTTTGGAGAGAAAACATGAATAAATAGTGAAAATGAGCCCCATAAGCTGGACAGTCCATTAGAATACTTAGGAGAACAGAGTAAAATATCTAGCTAAGGGTGTGTGGACTCAATTATCACGAGAGAGAGAGAGACTGACTCAAGGCATGTGAGTTTTAAAATGCTTGGCAGCTGAGATATTAGGTAAAGCGAGGGCAGCGACATAGTGTGGTAGTCCCGGATTACGTCGTCATCCTTATTACGTCACCACCGCGTCAACCACAGGCAGCCGCAGCTTTATAACCACAAATATCGCTACCATCTACAACCCATTATCACTGAATAATTGGTTGTCATTATATTTTTACTTAACGTTCAATACGATATTAAATGTTTTCCAGATATAACTTGTAACTAATCAGTTATTATATCAATATGCAAAGGTTATGATTAATGTAAAATTAACCTCCCCGGGAAACTGACACTAATTCACGCACAATAGTTTTCTTCTACAGTATTGTGTACTGTTATGTCAACAGGATGTGAAAACAACTATCTTAAGTTGTTCATAAATATACAATACATTAACTAATACACCTACAGTATAAGCGAGCCACCATAAAAGTCTTATAGATTTTTCTCGAAGCAACGAAGTAAATTTCAACTACCCATTAAACGACTCTTGTGAACTACTCATAAATGAAAACTGTTTTTTTCTTCACTATATGTCGTTGTAAATTGTGTACTAAAATGTTGTAATGAAGCGGCAGTGATGTACAGTACATGCCTGGGAGGAGAGTGACACCTGGCAGTAAGGGTGAGTCAGTACACTTGCCCAGAGGCACTATCAAGTGTGGACCGCAGTGACGCAGAAGCTGAGCCGGCAGCACAAGGTAGAGCCAGGCGGCGGGTGGCAGGTGGTCGAGTTTGCGACACCTCGGCTCTTATTGCACTGGTCCCCAAGCCTGATAGTCAAGTTCGGGGACCTACCATTCAACCCCCCCCCCCCCTAACCCCATCAGTGTGGCCCTCACTACCTGTGCGGATGAGGCGGACAGGAGGCTCACCAACAATCACCTTCACATGACGTTACTGAATAAATAAGCCGGAGGACAGTTTTATATGCAGGGAAGTTTGGAGTGTGGGTGAGGGAGGGCCGCCGCTGCCGCCACCACACCACAATGAGCTCTATATAACTACCGCTGCGTCATGATCCACTCTGTGAAAGATGTCTTATGCTCCCCCTTCTCTCACCCCGCCACTACCCACTCACACTATTCCACATTTATATATTAAACACTAATCCAAAATATAATCAACCTTATGGCCAAATATTTCAGTAAAAATGATGACGCTAGCAGTCTTCAGATTATATTATCAATGATCGATCTATGACAACCTTTCTTTTGACCCCTGCTTGCATAAATTTACACTCGCATAAAAACTCACTTAAAACTCAGTTCATAAAAAGCAAACTTCGCATCGCAAAGTCACTGCTCCGGAAAAACAAACACAACAATGAATAAACTCAGAGTACCGTCCTCATATCTGAGGGTTGGCGACCACAGTCCTCTACCCTAAACGTTCTCGGGCTGATTTTACCAATCTAAGGTTTTGTATCACTCTGGGGACCCAGATTTTAATATCAATCATCTATCCCAGTCTCTGCCTTCCCCTGGCCCTCCTATCCTCAACTGTGCCCATTAATAGTTATATACTGTTATTATTCCTCATCCCTAATTATATGACCAAACTATCCCAATTTTGTCTGTACATTTCAAGAATTTGTGTTGAAGTTTTTGCTAATCTTAGTAACCCTTTATTTGTTTTCCTGTCATTGTAGCTTATTCTTAACATTCGCCAAAAACATTACATTTCAAAGGCCTCCAACCTCTTTCTGGTATCTTCTGAAAGTGACCACGCTTCTGACCCACACATTAGTCCTTGCCATATAAAAAGCCTTGAAAAGTCTTTTTCTCAAATGGAGGTTAATGTATCTTTTCCCTGGTTCTTTTATATTATAAATGCTGTTTTTGCTTGACCTATTCTTGTTTTGAGCTCTTCGGTACATATACCATCACAGGTAATGTTACTAATTATTACATATTTCATTACATGACAGGACCTTTTTATAAAAACTGTAGTTATAAGGTACATTGTAAAAATTCATCATATTTTTCTCCCCACTGGACATAAACCTTCCGTCAATGAGGTGATAAACCCTTACAAAATGTCTGACAAGATGTTTTAATTGGTAAGCTTAAGGTCAATCATTGCCAGGTCAAGCCAACAGCCACTTTATGTCTCCCCACGTTCATGCAACTCAACTAGCTAGCGGTACAAATGATACCTTCTTACAAATTTTCAAGTCCTCCAATAATCACACGTTTGGAGACAGTAGAATTGACCACTGTATACCATGCTATATTACTCTAGGTCCAGGTGTAGCAAGTTAATGGGTGAGGCTGAATGAGCAGACCGCGCTAGTCTCAGCACAAGTAATGCATGTTTCCCCCCAACAGAGCCAGGCTGGGATCATCAAGTAAGGTACTGTACAGGGTTCTTCCATGGGGATACACGATAGGTGGTGGTGAGGCGGTGCGGAGGATCGGATGGCCGGCAGCAGGGGCACACAGTTCCATTCAAACACCAAATTCATGTTTTTCTGAAATCTGGATGTGTCCGGCCACACACACCACCACCACCGCCTCACAACACAGCCACACACCACCTCCACACAACACACCACACCCACAAACCACCTCCACACAACACACCCACACACCACCACCACCACCTCACACACCACACCCACAAACCACCTCCACACAACACACACACACACACACACCTCCACACAACACACCCACACACCACCTCCACCATCTCACAACACAGCCACACACCACCTCCACACAACACACCACCACGACCTCACAACACAGCCACACACCATCTCCACACAACACACACACACACCACCTCACACACACCCACACCCACCACCACCACCTCACAACACAGCCACACACCACCTCACACAACACACCACTACCACACAACACACCACACCCACAAACCACCTCCACACAACACACCCACACACCACCTCCACACACACACACCACCACCTCACAACACAGCCACACACACATCTCCACACAACACACCCACACACCACCACCACCACAACACAGCCACACACCACCTCCACACAACACACCACCCACACAACACACCACACCCACAAACCACCCCACACCACACCCACAAACCACCTCCACACACCACACCCACACACCACCGCCACACAACACACCCACACACCACCTCCACACACACCCACACACCACCACACAACACACCCACACACCACCGCCACACAACACACCCATACACCACCGCCACACAACACACCGCCACACAACACACCACCGCCGCACAACACACCCACACACCACCGCCACACAACACACCCACACACCACCGCCACACAACACACCCACACACCACCGCCACACAACACACCCACACACACCACCGCCACACAACACACCACCACACAACACACCCACACACCACCCCACACACACCACCTCCACACAACACACCACCCCACACAACACACACCACACCACCGCCACACAACACACACACACACACACACCACCGCCACACAACACACCCACACAACACACCACCGCCACACAACACACCACCTCCACACAACACACCCACACACCACCGCCACACAACACACCCACACAACACACCACCGCCACACAACACACCACCTCCACACAACACACACACACACCACCGCCACACAACACACCACCGCCACACAACACACCACCGCCACACAACACACCACACACACACACCACACAACACACCGCCACACAACACACCACACACAACACACCCACACACCACCGCCACACAACACACCCACACAACACACCACCGCCACACAACACACCACCTCCACACAACACACCCACCACCACCACACAACACACCACACACCACACCACCGCCACACAACACACCACCTGCCACACACGCCACACAACACACCACCGCCACACAACACACCGCCACACAACACACCCACCGCCACACACCACACAACACACCACCTCCACACAACACACCCACACCACGCCACACAACACACCCACACAACACACCACCGCCACACAACACACCACCCACACACACACACACCACCCACACAACACACCACCGCCACACAAACACACCACACAACACACCACCGCCACACAACACACCACACCACACCGCCACCGCCACACAACACACCACCGCCACACAACACACCACCTCCACACAACACACCCACACACCACCGCCACACAACACACCACCGCCACACAACACACCACCGCCACACAACGCACCACCTCCACACAACACACCCACACGCCACACAACACACCGCCACACAACACACCACCGCGCACAACACACCACCGCCGCACAACACACCACCGCCGCACAACACACCACCGCCGCACAACACACCACCGCCGCACAACACACCACCGCCGCACAACACACCACCGCCGCACAACACACCACCGCCACACAACACACCACCGCCGCACAACACACCACCGCCGCACAACACACCACCGCCGCACAACACACCACCGCCACACAACACACCACCGCCACACAACACACCACCGCCACACAACACATCTATACACTATCTCTCCAAGATTTTAAAATTGTAATTGGTGAGGTTATTTGTGAGGGAAAAAATAATAATTATGATTTTCATCTGCATCTTTGAAGCAGTAAAAACTCAACCCCTGATCTGAGTAAAAATAATTAACCAGTTGTTAACATATTGCTTTTCAACAGGTGAAAACAGAATCATCAAA